TATATATATACATACATACATATATATAGTTTCCCTTCAGATGATTGCAGTCCAACAAAAGCCTGTTAATCAGTTATCAATTGAAATCAGCTGTGTTGAAGCAGGGAATCGTCTAAAACCAGTGGTGTCCAAAGTCAGTCCTCAAGGGCCGGTGTCCTGCATGTTTTAGGTGCAGCCCTGGTTCAACACAGCTGAACCTAATGAGTGCTTAATTACTAAGCCTCCTCAGTTTGCCATCAAGGTCTGCTGAGGACTGACTTTGGACCCCACTGGTCTGAAACATGCAGGACAGTGGGCCTCGAGAACCAGGGCTGAAAAACACTGATCTAATCTGTCTCAAATTAGCCTGTATATCAGAAAAAATTAAAGTACACTGTATTTATTTAATTGTTGGGTGTCTGGCCCCTGAGGTATTGGCGTTCAGTAACTGTGGCCTCCTGAGCAGTTTAGTTGAATAGGTCAGGTGGATGTGGCGGTCATCTTGAGGCCAAATGTTATTCAGATGGAGATGTACAATTTTATTAAAATACCTTATGTGGTCCACGAAGTATGCTAATGTGACAGACAAAAGCACACAGGCCTATATATATACAGTGGGGAAAATAAGTATTTAGTCAGTCACCAATTGTGCAAGTTCTCCCACTTAAAAAGACGAGAGAGGCCTGTAATTGACATCATAGGTAGACCTCAACTATGAGAGACAAAATGTGGAAAAAAAATTGAGAAAATCATTTTGTCTGACTTTTAAAGAATTTTTTTGCAAATAATGGTGGAAAATAAGTATTTGGTCAATAACAAAAGTTCATCTCAATACTTTGTTGTATATCCTTTGTTGGCAATGACAGAGGTCAAACGTTTTCTGTAAGTCTTCACAAGGTTGGCACACACTGTTGCTGGTATGTTGGCCCATTCCTCCATGCAGATCTCCTCTAGAGCAGTGATGTTTTGGGGCTGTCGGCGGGCAACACGGACTTCCAACTCCCTCCAAAGGTTTTCGATGGGGTTGAGATCGGGAGACTGGCTAGGCCACTCCAGGACTTTGAAATGTTTCTTACGAAGCCACTCCTTTGTTGCCCTGGCAGTGTGCTTGGGATCATTGTCATGCTGAAAGACCCAGCCACGTTTCATCTTCATTGCCCTTGCTGATGGAAGGAGGTTTGCACCCAAAATCTCACAATACATGGCCCCATTCATTCTTTCATGTACACGGACCAGTCGTCCTGGTCCCTTTGCAGAGAAACAGCCCCAAAGCATGATGTTGCCACCCCATGCTTCACAGTTGGTATGGTGTTCTTTGGATGCAACTCCGCATTCACTTTCCTCCAAACACGACGAGTTGTGTTTTTACCAAATAGTTCTACTTTGGTTTCATCTGACCATATGACATTCTCCCAATACTCTTCTGGAACATCCAAATGCTCTCTAGCAAACTTCAGACGTGCCTGGATATGGACTGGCTTAAGCAGGGGGACACGTCTGGCACTGCAAGATCTGAGTCCCTGGCGTCGTAGTGTGTTGCTGATGGTAGCCTTTGTAACATTGGTCCCAGCTTTCTGCAGGTCATTCACTAGATCCCCCCTTGTGGTTCTGGGATTTTTCCTCACCGTTCTTGTGATCATTTTGACCCCACGAGCTGAGATCTTGCATGGAGCCCCAGATCGAGGGAGATTAGTAGTGGTCTTGTATGTCTTCCATTTTCTGATTATCGCTCCCACAGTAGATTTCTTCACACCAAGCTGCTTGCCTATTGCAGATTCAGTCTTCCCAGCCTGGTGCAGGTCTACAATTCGGTTTCTGGTGTCCTCCGACAGCTCTTTCGTCTTCACCATAGTGGAGTTAGGAGTGTGACTGTTTGAGGTTGTGGGCAGGTGTCTTTATACTGTTAACGACTTCAAACAGGTGCCATTAATACAGGTAATGAGTGGGGGAAAGAGGAGCCTCTTTAAAAAGAAGTTACAGGTCTGTGACAGCCAGAAATCTTGCTTGTTTGTAGGTGACCAAATACTTATTTTCCACCATTATTTGCAAAAAAATTCTTTAAAAGTCAGACAAAATGATTTTCTCAAATTTTTTTTCACATTTTGTCTCTCATAGTTGAGGTCTACCTATGGTGTCAATTACAGGCCTCTCTCATCTTTTTAAGTGGGAGAACTTGCACAATTGGTGACTGACTAAATACTTATTTTCCCCACTGTATATATATATATATATATATATATATATGTATTATATTTGTGCAGAAATATATATTTTGAATATACATATCTTGTCCTCAGTGTTATAAACTAACCTCCCGCAGGTCCTTTGGAGTGGTGCTGTGGGAGATGCTAACCGGGGAGGTTCCTTATAAAGACGTGGACTCATCTGCCATCATCTGGGGTGTTGGAAACAACAGCCTGCAGCTGCCCGTACCTGAGAGCTGCCCAGACGGCTTCAAGATCCTCCTCCGGCAGTGCTGGTGAGCAGGGCTTGGAAACGATCAGTTAGTCCTGCAGAGATGACAGCAGACGAGAGCAGAGCAGTGTTGGAGTTGCATGAGGAGGAGTTAGCTGGTAGTTTAAAAGCTTTATTGATTTTACACGTCTTCCATGGTAAGTGTACACAGCTGTGTTTCCTATTCTGGATTTGCAGGAACTGTAAGCCCAGAAATAGGCCTTCGTTTCGTCAGATCCTTCTTCATCTGGATATAGCGTCAGCTGATGTGCTGTCCACCCCGCAGGAAACATACTTTAAGTCTCAGGTATGGATATCTTCCTGGTTATCACTGCTTCATGAGCTGATGTTGTATAAATTGAACGCAAATACGAATCACTAAAAAACAAAAACATAAACAGTGCATCATTTTAGTTTTTTAAACGAAATCCATGCAGATAATTTAAATAAAACTTTCATTCTAAGAGACTCATTACTGAGGTATAACAGATTATTTCATCTTTATGAAAGTCTAAATGAAGACACATGTCAGAGCTTTATAGTATAAACTTTATAAAGTTTGTCCCATTAATCAGTTGTTATTTTTGATCTTAACGGATGCCTCAAACTCTGAATAAAAACACCCAGTACCCTCAGTTTAACTTTTTTTTTCAGGAATTTTGACTAAAACTAAGACACTTGATGATAAAAAGGTTCATCAAAGAGAACAAAAAGGGGAAAAAAGCATACATGTTACATACATGTTTACCACTATGAAATGCTTGTTTAAGGTGGCTTCAACCACCAGCTTCTAGTCCTTCTATTTCCCTGGATCCATCCATCCATCCATTTTCTGTACACGCTTCTTCCTTTTCAGGGTCGCGTGGTATTTCCCTGGATATTTCTCATAAATATACTGGTGTTGTTGTGATTAGTTAGCCTTAACACTAAGGCCCTACTGTGACTGCTGCCTTTCTGTTTAAAGACATTTCACTTTTAAATGTTATTGTCACTTTCACACGCAGAGGGATGAACATTTTTGTTTTTTTATTGGACATTTTAAATCCACGAAAGACAAAAATTAAACTAGGGACCTCAAAGACTTGCATGCCTATTTATTTATTTAGAGCTTTATCACATCCATTAGTTTTGCATGCCGCTGTATATAAGCATAAACACACACGCGCGCACACACAGGGTAATCAGTGAGATTCATCGACTTTAATGTGGGCTCCTGGCGGACAGAGCAGGTTAACAGAACTGTGCTCTCATCAGGCTGAATGGAGAGAGGAGGTGAAGCAGCACTTTGAGAAGATTAAATCTGAGGGCACTTGTCTGCACCGGCTCGATGAGGAACTGATCAACCGGCGCAGAGAGGAGCTCAGGTTTGGCTCGTCTCACATGTTTGATTTGATGTAAAGTCAAAACGTCGATCCGTGTCGGATTATTGGCACCTGGCATAATGAAGCCCCCACACCGTCCCCACGTCTTGCTGCTGAAGAGGATCTGGATGCTCTGTTAACGTCGTCCTCTTCTTTTTATTTTTCAGGCATGCGTTGGACATCCGTGAGCACTATGAGAGGAAGCTGGAGAGGGCTAATAACCTTTACATGGAGCTGAGCGCTGTGATGCTGCAGCTGGAGCTGAAAGAGAAAGAGCTGCAGAGGTACAGAGAGCGTCACCCGAAACATGTTTGGAGAAGAAAAAAATAGAGACTTGATCAGTCTGCAATTCAGATCCATCATCTTGAGTGTTTTTATGTTTGTTTTCCTTTTTTCAGGAGAGAGCAGTCTTTGGATAAAAAGTGTCCGAGTTTGTTCAAGCACCACAGCTCCAGACAGAACAGCTCCTCCAACTCTATGGACAAACTCATCAAGAAGAGAAACGTCCCTCAGAAACTGCCTTCAGGAAAGAGGTGCGAGGTCTCGTTTCGTTCAGCCTTTTTTTTCCAGTTTGTGTCTGTTAGCGAAATAGCTCATAAACAAGGCGAGTATTACAAATATCAGAAAATGATATCTAAATCTGAGTCAGCCCAATTCAAGATGGTATCTACAACTAATCCACTTTAGTCATCAGAGATATATCTACACCTCTGTGGATTTTACAGATATAATATTTGGTTTGGTAGTACCTGAGAAATATTCAGTAAACATACTTTAAACGCTGCCAGATCATGTGAGATGACACAGAATACTACATGAGAATAAACATGATGGGTTCGTTTTTATTTTTTCAAAGTTTGACCAAAACAGCTAAAACTGGCTAAAACTTCTCAACATGAGGTGATCTTAATTTAAAACTCTGGCAGGAAAAGGAGTGGGTAGTAGTATTATTATTTTTTATTATTTTTCTTAAAATAAATTATTAATTTAATTTATTTAAAGATGTCTCAATAGTGTGAATGTTTATGAAGTATTCACATTTTTTAGATCTGCACATTTTTCGGCACGTCACTCGTTACACAAGTTTTGTTCTATTTCAACAACTCATAAATCAAAACGTTCCTGCTATGACTTCTTTTATTTGTGCAAATTTTGCTTTTTGAAACATTTAGCTTTTTCAGTCACGTGTTTCCTCATTGAAAAAGAACAGAGTTTCCTTCAAAATGCTTCAGACCCTTTGTACCATTTACAACATTTTACTGCCTTTTTTCACCTGTTCTGTTGACCCTTTTCAGCTTCATTCTGCTAATTTCAGTGTTTTACAGCTTATTTTAGCTTCCATCTGCTTTTCAGCTGCTTTCTGATAATTTTAGCAATTTTTTTTCTTTTTCACCGTTTTTGTGTTGATTTCAGAGCTGTTGTCTGCTTAAATGAGCAAACATGCCCTTTCAGGTTTTTCAACTCCTTTTTAGTCTTTTTCTGCTTTTTCAGTTACATTTCAGCAATCTCTTTTCTTTTGTTGCATTCACACTGCACTTTTGCAGGAGATGCTATTATTCTAGTTGATAAAAGATTTAAATGAAAGTGGGTGAATTTTGATGTAATGTGTCTTGTTGAGTTGTTGACTCGTTCCTCCGGCTCTTTTAGGCCAGATATCCTGAAGTCTGAGGTAATCCTTCCCAAAATGGATTCCTCTGTGATGCAAGTCACCATCCCAGCCTGCTCCAACCGGGGCTCCACGTCTCCCAGCCGGTCTCGGAGAGTAAAGACCCGCCATCGCAAGCCCGGAAAGGGCAGCAGCGGGGACCTGGCTGTTCCCAAGGCGACCCAGTCCTCCCCCAGCAGAGAGAAAAGTCCCCAGACCAACAGCACCGGCACCAACACCTCCAACCAGCTCCTGGAGCCCTCGGCGGCCCTGCGGGGCCTCGGCCACGAGCAGCAGCAGAGGCAGCTGTCCTCCTCCAGCCCCGACCTCATCTGCACCGCCCTGGAGGCCGAGGGCCAGGGACAAGGGGAGCCCTCTGCGGGTGGGCTGGAGCGCGGGGGCAGCCTCAGCGCCTCTGCTGGTTTAGGGGGTTCAGAGGGAGGGGCAGCGGGTCTCGATGACCTGACAGAAACTCCGCCGCGCAGCGACACCCCCAGCGAGGACGCCGCGTCCTTCCCGTTCTCCAGCAGCCCGGACTCTCCGTGTGGGAGGGGGGCGGCGGCGGGGAGGGCGTCCCTGGGATCCCCTCGCCTTCCTCACGACGGAGAGGACAAAGACGAGGGAGCCGGCATTGTGAGGATACCTCGAGGGGCATCAGGAGGAATCGGGACACAACATCTCACACCCTCAGCCATCTTGTACAGGGCAGCTATCACACGCAAACAGGTGCAGCGAAAAAATCAGTTCATATCCTTTACGGCGGCTTATCACCCACTTTGGATGTTATAATCCATTAAATGGACGTTATTAGCCATTATCAGTCCCATAGAATGGCTTCAGACTGTCAGCTGGTTAATATGAGGCATAAAGCCACTAAGGTTAATTTTAGAGAAAATGACATGGGCTATGGCAAAGTAGACCGGACTCTGGCGGTAGCAGATAGTTGCATTCCAATGTATAGGCACTGGTAACCCACTAGGGAGCACAGTCGGGACAGTCTGAAGCCATTCAATGGGACTGATAACTGCTAATAACATCCATTTAATGGACTGATAACATCCGAACCGGCTGTGTTTATAGATTATACTTTGAGTCGTGCTCTCTTTTACTTGTGTCTTTCCTCATGATTACAGAGGCGTGGAGTGTCATCTGAGGAGGAGGAGGGTGAAGTCGACAGTGAGGTTGAGTTGCCACGGAGACGGTGAGTAACTTGCTGTCACTGGAAAAATCCCCCCGAAATCGTCTTCAGCCTCTGACAAGTCCCAGATCCATTCAGAGAACTAAGAATAGTTTCTTATTTGCGTCATTCGTTTGTGCCTCACAAGGCGTCCGACCAGCATCACCAAGTGCCAGTCGGTGTCCACCTTCAGCTCAGAGAACCTGTCCGTGTCGGACGGCGAGGAGGGACACACCACTGACCACTCCCACTGCGGCACCCCCGACGTGGTCAGCACCAACACCGACGACAGGTTGGACGATCGGAGCGACGACCTCCTCTCTCAGGGGTCAGAGATCCCGGCAGACAACACAGACCCGACGCAGGCGTCCGACGGCCTGTCGGAGAGGGACGGAGCTGTGGGGCAGAGCAAAGCTCAACTGGACGCCGGCCAGAATCCTAATGAGGTGAAGAAGCTCTGCAGAAGTTTGCATGCCTCTGTGTGAGACGTGTGAGACCAAATACACAACACAAACACATAAGAAGAGATCAGATAGCATAAATATGATAACCATTGAGACTCAGAGTGTGTACTGTAATAATTTATCAAAATGCAGTAATCAACTAAAGGCTCAACTCTGTTCTTTTCTGTTTATTTGAAAAAGGAAATTAACATTTTGAATTGAATTGAATCATTTTATTCATTTTTATTTGTAACAATACATAACAAAAAACTTGCAATCAAAATAAAATCAAAATAAAATAAAAGGCAGCAGAAGAAGAATAAATCTTATAATATCTGCCCCTTTTTTATACCCAAAATATGTTCAAAATAAAAGTCAATTACAACAAAAATCAAAACAACTGAAAACACACAAAAAACGTAAATCAAAGCTAAATTTAAAACACTAATTCAAAACAACAATTAGCATTAATTCACGTATGCTTCTCCATATTTCTTCAGAATACTTATCATTCTCTTTAATCTATACAAGGATCTTGGCTTTTTAATCTCATCTTCCAGACCGTTCCACAATCTTATTCCCTGGATTAAAGTGGTTTGCTCCTTCGGGCTCGTACGGAACCATGGTTTTAAAATCATTGTCAAGAATTAAGCCAAAACTCTAGCAAGCAAGCTAACTAAAATCACATTTGATGATTGGGGTCTTATTTTTATTTCTGAGGACAATACCTCATACATGTCAAGTTGCACAGGTTGCCCGTAATTTACACAGAGTTTCCCTCATTTTGCAGGTGTACAGTCATATAGAGCAATGTCAGAATTTTTTCAAGTTTTACAATTTTTTTTTTAAAAACTCAGTTTCAAATTGATTTAACGTCAGAGCCTGTAGGGCGTTATAAAAACAATAAATAACATACAGTCTTCCATCTTCCAGCCCGCTCTGCCACTATAAATAAGTTCTCCTGTCCTCATTTGCGCAGCAGATGTACTAGTACCTACTAGTAGGATCAACTGGTCCAGGAAAACTGGGGGTGGGGTAAGGAGCTGCAGAACAAGAGGGGTTTATTTACTGGTCTCCTTCAATCAGAGGAGTGGGTTTGTCTGAGGAAAGGTGAGTTTGTAGTGAGAAACATGCAAGACATACAGTTTTCTTTTCGTGGTAGATTAATTCCACATAATTAGAAGCTGTTTGTTTGGAAAGTCGATGGGTCGCATCTCTTCTTGGCAGCTGCAGGTCACCAGCAGGAGGTACCGTGGATCCATACCTGAGCATCAAGGTGATACAGAAAACGGATAATTTTGGAATGCTTTTGAAGTCTTGTCTGTGTCGTAACAGCGCTGCGTGAAGAAACAGATTTCTGTTAGACCTATCAGGGCTGTAAACAAACATACAGTATTGACATCTTTTGGCACGTTAATCTCTGGGCTGGAGATGCATATCTGTTCCTGTGGTATTTCTTCCTGGTGGGGTGGGGTGGGGGGGATGTTAATCTGTGAGTTTCTACAGATGCAGCAAAAATAGGCAGTGGAGACCACAAGCTGACCACCCCAGAGAAGACCACCCCCTTCCCATTACAAAATCATATCCAGTTCACACAAACCATCATCTTCTTTATTCAAGTCATAAATGTAAAACACAATAGATAAACACTGAATTAATGAGTTGCTGCTCACCATTTTCAACTGAGTGAGCTGCTGGGTCCATGACAAAGAATATGAGTAGCCTCCACCTGAGGGGGGCGGTAAACTTTTGAAATAGCAGATCAGGCATGTTGAAGGTCAGGCAGATGAAGAAGCCGCAGCAGAAGAAACGGCGCTTTACCGTGCAGTACGGTGATTTTAAATTTGAGAAAGCTTGTTCTTTGCAAATGTTTTAAGTTAAAGATGTAAATTTTACTTTTTTCGAGAAACGGACAAATAGCCCGTAGGTATTGCAGTATTTTTTAGTTCAGTTCTGTGGATTCATGAATGAAATCATTCCACTTGATTGTCCTGATGCATCTCAGTAATCCAGGTAGAAAAAATCAAAAAGAAAAGAATAAGTAGGTCCTCTGGATGGGTTCTTCTTTAATGAAACATTTCGTCTCTCCTCCAAGACACTTCTTCAGTCTGATGAGTTTCATTTGAACTCAGCCTTATAAGCACTGCCTCCACATGGACAAACAGGTTAGTCACATGCAAAAGAGGGCCATCGCCTAACAATAGGCTTGATTAGCTCTATTGTTCATAGAGGGCCATGTGCCCCATCACCTGACTTACTGGTTTGGATGTTTTGGCTTTGGTTATTTGGTGTTTTGTTATGTGTATGTAATGAGTGCAAGCAGTGTTCAACGTCCCCTTGTTTTTGTCTCTCTTTCCAAATTTGTGTTGGTTGGCTTGTTTGTGTTGGATTCCACTTGACTGACAGAAGAATATATCCAGTGTCTTTTTAGGTAACTATGTTTAACAATTTGATAAAATACACCAGAATGTAGGAAATGGCTTCTACATACAGCGGGTAAAATAAGTATTTAACACGTCATCATTTTTCTCAGTAAATATATTACTAGAGGTGCTAAAGACATGAAATTTTCACCAGATGT